CAGCCCCCCAATCCCCCCTTCCAATCCCCCCCCAGCAATCACCAGAAGGCTTAGATACAGCCTATGTGGAGCAATGCTTCTTTCGGCCTCGGGGCCGCTGCCCCGTCTGGCTCTCGGCCACTCGGAGAAGGCCTGCAGCTGAAGAGCCAAGCCGTAGCGTCCGGGCAGGCAGTTGCGTTCCTCCCGGGCTGAGCGCCACCAGGCCGGGCTTCCTTGGGAAGGGGTAAGGTAGCCTGCTGCCAAAAGTCTGAAGGCCAAGAAATCCCGGGCGGGGGCAGAGCAAACTTCCTCACAGTGGGGCTTCAGCCCCCTTCTCCCTCGGCCCCCGCCTCTGCAGCCGTGGGGGCCTCCGGCGCACCCGGGAGATGCAGGCAAGCCCGAAGTGTGAGAGGCGGTGCAGCTGGACCCGGACGCAGAAGACTTCGCTGGTGGGGATCTCGGAGAAGAAGGCCCGGTCTTGGGGGACGGTCACCTCAGCCCCCGTCGGCTCCAAGCTCTCCAGGACGGCCAAGATGGCTTGCCGCTGAGTCTGGCTCTGCAGGCCCCGAACATCCAGGAGGGCTGACAGGTGCTTCTTTCTGCAGGGGCAAGAAGGGCGATGGCTAGAAAGGCAGGACAGGAGGGGTGCCCGCCCCATCCTCGCCCGTGGGATTCAGCCACAAGGCGTGGCGATCGTGGCTAACTTGCAGGGCTCTCCAAGGGACTGGGGCCTGCCCGGGAGACAAGGGTGTCGGGGCTCTTGGCCTTGAAGGCCCGCCCGGGGGGGCAGTTTCCCCACACCAGCTGCTTCAGGGAACAGGGTGGGGGAGAAGGTGGGTGGAAATGCTCGACCGCCTGCCAGCAACAAGGCCAATCGAGGAGGGGCGACTGCAAGTGGGGGGCTGCCCCCCCTCCGCAGCAGCTGGGGGGCTAACGAAGCCCGACACTTGATCTGGCCGGTGGCAACTCGAGCCTCCTGCAGAGGAGACGAGGGAAAGCAGCCCACGCAGAAAGGGCACGTGGTGGCAGCGGAGCGCTGAGGGTCAGAAAAGCCGGCGGCCTCTCCGTTGTTTAAGTGACAGCTGGGGGGGCTGAACAGGAAACCCTCCCTTGTAACGGCCCTCGGCCTGGGATGGACACTCTCCCCCCGGAGAGCCCACTCCAGGTGCCCCCAAACGGAGGAAGCCGAAGCCGGACAGGGGAGCCCTTCCCAGGGGCAGCCAGCCTCTGGGCTCCTCGGGGGAGCCTCTACGGGGGCCAGGCGGTTCTGAAAGCTTTCGTGCCTGAGGGCTG